GATATTTAGCGACTTTACAAGGTTTGTCATGATCTTATGAGCATCATTGCACCACGGAAGTTTGAGGGTCCTATGTCCAGTTACTTAGGCAAGGTTCATGGGATTTTGCATGATTTTAATAAACTACTGCCTCTCGCAGAGACTCCAGCACAAGAACTTGAGCAACAAAGTACGTTTTTTATGCTATTAGCACTGTATGGTTTGCCTCTACAGTACTCTGCTAATCGCGATCAGATTTTAGGTTCCTCCATTATCCCAACTTTATCCACAATTTGGTTCACTTTGCTTCAGGTTCTAGCTAAGCAGTCATTTGATTTAGTTACTCTTAATTCTAGCGAAACCACAACTCTTGTTTCCCAGAATAATACTCGTGGTCGCTCTCAGGAAAATAACTCTAGTAAAACCAGTCCTAGGTGTGATCATTGTCAGTGCTTAGGACATACTATTGACAAGTGTTGGACTCTACATGTTCGACTCCCACGGACTACTAATGTGGCACAGACTACTCCTTCAGATATACCTGAACTCTCAGATCTGCCTCGACCATCTCCAGTCGACTATGAAACTTCTCTGAAATGGTTTAAGCAACGACAGACATCTAACTCCATTGCTTCTGTTGCGCACACTAGTAAGTCTATTGCTTGTCTCTCTCAGTCACCATCCCTTGGCCCTTGGGTTCTCGATTCAGGAGCATCAGATCATATTTATGGTAATAAGTCTATTTTCTCTAACCTTTCTCAGTTTAGTTATTTACCTATTGTTACATTAGCCAATGGTTCTCAAACACAATCCCATGGAATTGGCACTGTCCATCCCCTTCCGTCTATGACAGTTGATTTTCTACTATATGTTTTGAAGTCTCTTTAATTTACTCTCTATTAGTCGTTTGACTCGTTCTTTTGACTGCGTCATTACATTTACTAAATACTCAATTTTTCTGCAAGACCCTAGTTTGGGACGGATGATTGGCACTGGATGTGAGTCTCATGGCCTCTACCAGCTCTCCAACCATTTTAAAGTCTGCTCTGCCATACCTTCCCCTCACTATCCATGTTCAGTTGAGTCATTCTAGCCTTGTTAAATTACAGAAAATGGTGCGAAGTCTTTCCAAATTGACCGATTTACCTTGTGAATCATCAATAGGAAAACACACCCATATCTCCTTTCTAAATAGAGTCTGTAATCGAGCCATGTCTCCATTTGCCTTAGTTCACTTTGATGTTTGGGGTCCTAGTTGAGTTGTGTCTACTTTAGGGTCAAAATACTTTGTTACTTTTATTGATGATTATTTACATTTTACTTGGATATTTTTAATGCATAATCGGTCTAAATTGTTCTCTATTTTTAACAATTTCTATCAAGGAATTAAAACTTAAGTTGGTGTTCCTATTCGTACTTTGCATAGTGATAATATTCGTGAATATTTATCTTAGCCTTGTCAATAGTTTATGTCTTCTCATGGCATTCTCCATCAAACATCTTGTGCACATTCTCCTCTACAAAATCGAGTTGCTGAACGCAAAAATAGACACCTTGTAGAAACTACTCGGACACTTCTCTTTCATGGACATGTTCCGGTTCGTTTTTGGGGTAATGCAGTTTTCACTGTTTGTTACTTGATTAATCGTATGCCCTCTTCTGTATTTAATAACCAGATTCCTCACTCTGTGTTATTTCGTCATCAATCTCTGTATTCCTTGCCTCGTGTCTTTGTGTCGGCTTGTTTTGTTCATAATCTCAGCCCTAGTCTAGACAAACTTTCAGCCCGATCCATTAAATGTGTCTTTCCTGGTTACTCTCAGTCTCAGAAGGGATATTGTTGTTTCTCGCCCACTCTTCTATGTTATCTTGTCTCGTCGGATGTAACATTTTTTGAATCTATTTCTTTCTTTGAGTCATCTCCCTTGACTCCTGAGCTTATATCTGAGAATTTACTTGTTTGTCCTCTTTTTATTCTAGTTGAGCCAGATACCTCTCCTAATCCCTCACCTTCTTCTCCCGCTACTGAGATCTTTACAGACTCTCATCTGGCATCGACCTTTACCAGCTCCGGACTTGTTTGCTAAGCCTGATCTTCCCATTACTCTCAGGAAAGGTATACGGTCTACTCGTAGCCCCTTTTCTCATTATGTTACATTAAGTTATCACCGTTTGTCTCTTTTGCATTATGCTTGTCTCTCATCCCTTTCTTCTGTGTTTATTCCTAAATCTCTAGGTGAAGGTTTATCCCATCCTAGGTGGCGACAAGCTATGCTAAATGAAATGTGTGCACTTTAGAGCAATGATACTTGGGATCTCGTTTTTCTACCTCCAGGCAAGTCGGTTGTCGGCTGTCGATGGATTTATATTGTTAGAGTTGGTCCGGATGGCAAAATTGATCAACTCAAGGCTCGTCTGATAGCTAAAGGGTACACTTAGATCTTTAGCTTAGACTATGGTGATACTTTTTCTCCTATAGCCAAGATCGCCTCTGTTCGGGTCTTTCTATCTATGGGTGCTATCTGCCACTGGCCTCTTTGTTAGCTGAACATCAAGAATGCCTTCCTTCACGGTGATCTGTTAGAAGAAGTCTATAGGGAGCAACCACTTGAATTTGTTGCTCAGGGGGAGTCTGCTGGCATGGTTTGTCATCTTCGTAAGTCATTATATGGCCTTAAACAATCACCTCGAGCTTGGTTTGGTAGATTTAGCACTGTTGTCCAACAATTTGGTATGATTCGAAGTAAAATTGATCACTTTGTGTTCTATCGCCACTTAGGCCAAGGATGTATTTTTTCAATTGTATATGTGGATGATATTGTTATGACTGGCAGTGATCACCATGGCATAATCCAAATAAAATAGCATTTCTGTCATCATTTTCAGACCAAAGACCTTGGTAAACTCCGTTATTTCTTGGGAATTGAGGTTGTACAATCCAAGAATGACGTAGTTATCTCACAGAGAAAATATGTTATGGATATCCTTGAAGAAATTGGTCTGTTGAACGCAAAATCCACTGACACTCCTATGGATTTAAATGTCAAGCTCCTACCAAATCAGGGGGAGCCTCTATCAAATTCAAGAAGATACAGGAGATTAGTCGGAAAATTAAATTATCTCGCAATAACATGACTACCTATCTTTTTTGCAGTTGGTGTGGTTAGTCAATTTTTAAATGCACCATGTGAGGATCATTGGATGCAGTAATTTGTATTCTAAAGTATATTAAAGGAGCTCTTGGTAAAGGCCTCATTTATGAAGACAAAGGCTACACTCAGATTGTTGGATAGTCAGATGCTAATTGGGCAAGTTCTCCTATCGATAGAAGATCCACTTCTAGGTATTGTGTACTTATTGGAGGTAATTTGATATCATGGAAAAGTAAGAAACAAAACGTAGTTGCAAGATCAAGTGCCAAAGTAGCATATCGTGTCATGATCTTAACCACTTGTGAACTCATCTGGTTGAAATAGCTTCTTAAAGAACTTCAATTTGAGGAGCCTATGCCAATGACACTTGTTTGTGATAACTAAGTAGAATTGCATATTGCTTCTAATCCAGTGTTTCACAAGAAGACCAAACACATCAAGATAGATTGTCATTCCATCAGAGAAAAGATTCAATCAAGAGACATTATTACTCGATTTGTTAATTCAAATGATCAACTAGTGGATATTCTTACCAAATCCCTGAGAGGTCCTAGAATAAGTTATTTATGTAATAAGTTTGGCACATATGATCTATATGTTCCAGCTTGAGGGGGAGTGTTAATTATGGAATGATAATATTAAGTTTTTATTTTAGATAGATTAGATCAATTAGGATTGTTGAGTAATATATAATTAATTTACTTTTCTCTCTACAAGCTTAAGCTTTTAGATGAGATGGTAGTTAACAATTCAATATATTATCAGAGTAGGTAAGTTTCCACGTGTTGGTCATGTTGTGATCATAAAGTTTGGCCACACGTGAAGGGGCGTGTTAAGTAATATATAATTAATTTATTTTTCTCTCCATAAGCTTAAGTTTTTAGATGAGATGGTAGTTAACAATTCAACAAGGATCAAATTAGGAGATTTATAGAGATTTTTTCTTCGATATTCTTTCCTTATTAGTATAGGACCTTTGTATATAAATTTGTGTGTATCATGTATTTTCAATACATAAGAAAGTGGAATAAGAATTCTTCCTTTAAACAGGCACTGTATTAGGAAACTTGGAAGAGCAGCGTAACAATCTTTGAATGCTGTAGGAGAAAAACATGCTAGGACATAGCGTGTATATGTGTGTTTGTGTGCACATGCGCACCAGAGTTATAGGTCATAAAAATGATAAAAGAATGGCAAATTTCTTTTTATTAGTTATGCTTGTTCTATAGCTCTGCAGGTAATATGTGTGAATATTTTCTGTTTGAATATATGGACACGGCTTGGGATGAGTTGCATTCTCAAGAATGTAGGTTGTTTGCTTTGTTGTGGAGTTCATGCTAAAAGACTGCTGTAGAAATGTCTGGAAAGTGTTTCTAATTGTTCGAATTACCTAAATTCATATTCAAAGTAGTACATACCCAAGAAACAACTTGGGTTAAGGCGCCTGAATAATTTCAGTGCTTGAGTGTGATTTTCTTTGATAATCTTGTTAGGGCAAGATGTATTATCAATCATGTGAAACAGAAGGGAAGTTGAATTGCTAATTATTACTTTTGGTTAAAGTGTATGAGCCAAAAGTACTAAAAAAGTGATCAATGGCTTAGCTAGAGAAGGCCAATTAGTTACTGAAATAGGGTCAGTTCTTGACATTGACTCTCCTATCTGCCTTTTTGATGGTCATGCAAACTAGAAGGAGGTCAATGTAACTTAAAAAAGTTGCTAGGATAAGATCTTGAACCTATAGGAATACTTGGGCAAATGATTTGATTTTATGTACTTTCTAGGCTTGTTGGCTACTTTATTTGCTTAAAGTTAAAAAGAAAAAGGGAGGAAAGAAGAGAGCTGATCTAAAAAGTTTGGTTGCTTGCTATGCTGTTCATTGTAACTGCTCTGATTTTCTCCAGATGTGTTGTAAGTGGTTCTGGAAAGATTGCAATGCATGTCTTAGAGAAGCTTCTTGCTTTTGGCGCTATCCCTGTCACAGTATCAGGTATGCTCTTATGCTTGATTAAATTATTTTCAGACCTGATTGACTCTTTCAAGTAATTTATCTATCAAAAAATAAATAATTATTCTATGTGAAATGACGTCAGTTCTGTTATTTTCTTGAACCTGTACTTGTCATTTAGCTCTTGTACCCTGAAAGATCATGTTTACTCAAATGTCTGCACCAAGATCCTTTAGCTATGAGATTGGTTATAATTTTGTGATTAGTATTAACAAGCCAAGCGCTCTTGAGTTATCTTCTCTCCCACTCTCTGTGTGCTAAGTTATTCCTAACAAGCATGGTTGCTTGTGGGATAAATTTGAATGACATATATCTAAGGGATGTCCGCTGCACTTTTTTTTGAATCTGATTCACATTGTTGTCTGGTAACTGGTTTTTGGATCAGTGTATCCTCTTTGCCAATGGAACCAATTATTTAGGGTCTGGACTTTGGTAACGTCTGTTGAAAAAGTGTGAAAAGTGTGCAAAATTTGGTTTGCTATTTTCTTTATCAAGTGTTTTCTCATCTTCTTAGGTGCATCATTGAACTTTGAATTATTTTTTTAATGCATTGAGCACTTCCTATACTTGGCAATTTACTCTATACAATGACTTTATAACTTTCTATTGACAGTCTGTGCTAAAACGTGTTTTTGCCAAACAATGTCTTACAGATTCAAAAGGTTTTTTGGTGGATGAAGATGGTTTTGATTACATGAAAATTTCTTTTCTGAGAGATATTAAGACTCAGCAAAGAAGTCTAAGGTTTGTTTTTTTAACCATCTTTATATACCTAACTGATATCCTCAATATCTTTGATCTATCCTTATTTATCAACCGTAATTTCAGAGATTATTCAAAGACTTATGCTCGTTCTAAATACTATGACGAAGCAAAACCTTGGAGTGAAAGGTGTGATGTTGCATTCCCTTGTGCTTCTCAAAATGAAATTGATCAGTCTGATGCCATTAATTTGGTTAATTCAGGTTGTCGTGTACTAGTAGAAGGTAGTGGTTCTCAATGTGATGGTTGATACTTTTAGTTCTTGATTTACATTTTCAATTTTATATTTTTGTTGTTTTTTTCCTCCTTTTGAGTAATTATATTGCATTATGTCATCTAGGTTCCAATATGCCATGTACACCTGAAGCAGTTGATGTTCTGAGAAAAGCCAATGTTCTCATTGCTCCTGCTATTGCTGCTGGTGCTGGAGGGGTAAGGTTTATCAATGTCCTCTCTCATTAATGTCATGCTATTTATCTTCTGCATTTCTGGATTGTGTGATTGGAATAATTATAATGTCCATGCAAATGTGCTTTGGTCATTATGGTTAGCAAGTTTGTGTATAAACCAACTTGTTTGATGGAACACACACACACACACACACACACAAAATCATCATCATCATCTTAAGTGCACAAGGATGTAGTTTCTTTTTTTGTAGTCTCAAGCCCGTAAGAAGTGTGTAGGTTTAAGAAATCTGCAGATTGGAGAATTGTTTTGTAGATGTTGGAACATAGAAATATACAAAAACATGCATGGGATGGGGGTAGCTACATATAAAATGTGGAGTCAGTTTGCAAACAATTATCCCAAGTCTTTAGTGTTCTTTTTCAGGTAAATTATTTTCCGAGTGGTTGTGCACTGAAAATATAATTAAATAAACATATGACGTGGTAATAACTTGGAGAGGGATGTATGTAGTTGACAATATAGTAAAACCTGAGAAAATATTTTCTGTAGGTTAAATGGCATTTTTTAACTATTGTTTATTTACTTGTTTGATGTTGGTATTGATTGGTTTTCATTCATTGTCTATTTAATTTGTTCATATGTATGGCTTGGTTTTAGGTTGCTGCAGGAGAACTTGAGCTGAGTAATTGGTCCCCTGAAGAATTTGAATCTAAATTACAGGTGAGGTTTTGGTTCTTAATTTAACTGATTGAGTTTATCAGAACTAGCAAAGTTACAATACTAGCTTTTTTGGTTTATATGCCAACTGATTGTTCTTGTGTCTCTATCTTATTCTTTTTGGTCCATTCTATTGGGAGGGGCAAAGTGTTACAAGTGTGGGATGGGGAGGATGAGGTTCAAGCCTGAGATCATCCTCTGGGGAAGGAAATCCTATTAATCTCCTGATCCGGGGGCCTCTTTTGGTCTGTTTTTTCAATCTGGTCTAATATATCTTAAAATGCTGAAATAAAGTTAATCAACTCAATCTTGGATGTGTATCTCTCTTTCACTCTGAAAATCCTATCCAAAATGCAGTCTGGTTCATTTTGATAGTGTTTCTATTTACTCTTTCAATTGGTCTTCCAAGTTCTCCTTATTCCTGGAGTTTGTAGAGTGCAAACCTTTATCATTAGGATTCCACCTTTCTTTGTCTTTTCTTTACTGTTCATAGACTCCCTTGGTTCACAAAACAACAATTGGATTGAACTAAACCAAACAAGAAAGGAAGGCAGGATAGTTATAGAGAAAAGGTACAATAAATCTCTTTAAAGTTAGCTTCATCTATTTATGTATTTAATTTCCCCTTTGATTCAATTAATGAGTGTCGATTTGGCAAGCTTGCGCATGCAATTTCAAGGGGTAGGGTATGCCAATGTCTAGATATAATTAAGTTTACAACCTTATAATTGCTTGTGGAGGGTTTTTTCTGGTGATTTAAACCTATGATGCTTGGGTTGTAATGGAGCAACCTTATTGCTGTGCCAAGTCCCATCTAATTAAGGATTATCAGTTAGGTTAATTGGATTGTTGTTTCTTTTTCTATTATGTTATTGTAAATAGGATTATCTTTTGAAGTACTACCATACACTTACAGTAGTTACTATTCGTATGTTTGTCATACTAGGGTTTAGCCTTGAAACCCTGGTATAAAATTAAGCCTTTCTTTGAAAAATTAATTTGGGGGAAACTAGGGTTGGGACAAACCCACTTTCAAGGTTATAATTAAATTCTCCTTGGGAGGTGGGTGTACGCAAACTTGGTATAATCTTCTTTTTTCTCATATTTCTATTAGTGTTATCAAATGCAGTCATGGCGATGCCATGGTAGTGGCAGAACTTCAAAATTCCGTCATAGAGCCATTTGTCTTTAGCGTTTTTCTCATAGCGGCGCCATGGCACCTACTATGGCCGTGGCGTCGTGGTGTTGTGGCAATGTCATGGCTGTTTGTGGTTTGCTGATGGGCCATGGGCCTTAGCTAGCCCAAGGGCTTCAAACGTGGGTTGCGAAATGGGCTAGGGCTTGGATTGAGGCTAGTAGATGGATCTTCTTCTTCTGTAAACACCACCTTTGAGCGGGAAAACATGGCTGTGCGTGAGACAAAGCTTCATTGCAAGTGACGATAATTGCTATTTGTCGCATGCGAGTGCCAAGAAACGATCAAGGGAGGAGAGACGATAGCCATAGTGTAATGATTGCTGAGAGATGATAACCGTAGTGTAATGATTGACAGCCATAGTGTAACGATTGACAGCTGGAGCCTAGCGAACTGAGCGAAATGCGAGCGATGAAGTTGACAACTGAGCAAGGACAAGCGATTGCCGACTGCCGAGAGACTATGAAGGGAGGAGAGACGACAGCCATAGTCGAGCCGAGAGAGACAAAAGCCATAATCGAGCACGAGAGACAACAGCCATAGTCAAACCAAGAGAGACGAGTGACAAACAGGTGTGCTATTCTGCTACGTAACTGGGTAGGTTTTTTTTTTATAGTTAAATACTCTAACTTGCTAGCTATTCATGCCCATCTATAATAACAATAACTATTTATCACATTTTTAGGTAATACACGACAACTGTAGGTTCTTCACAAGCTTCATTTGCTATATTTGCTCCTCTCACCACCAATAGTAGCAGAACTGATCCAGGATGGAAGTATTGTCATCCTTTGAGAGAGGATGATACAAATATTATAGTTTGTAATTTCTGTAAAAAAGTTACAAAGGGAGGGATTAATAGAGCAAAGTACCATCTAATGGAAAAAAGGATAATGTTGCAGCTTGTTCTAAATGTCCAAAGAATGTTATAGAATAGTTGTGGAGTCATGTTAAAGAAAAAGATAAGAACAATCAAGAAAAGGAGATGAAAAGTGGAGTAGCTAGTATTGATTTGGGGAGTTTAGGATATGGTAATGATGAAGAAGAAGAGGGTCTAAGAGAGATGATGAGGTCTAAGAAGAAAGCCAAGACCATAGATAGAAGTGGCAACATGAAAGGTCCCATGGATTTAGCTAGAATCTATTATTGCAAAAGAAAAAAAAAAAAGGAGAAAATGAGACAATCAACCATAAGAGAAGCATGTTACAAGGAAGCAATAGATACAGTGAATCAATAAATCGCTAGATGGTTTTACCAAGTTGGACTTCCATTCAATGCGGTCAAATTGATGAGTTTTCATCATATAATTGAAGCTATTGGAGCTTATGGTCCAAGTTTAAGAAGGCCAATTTATCATGGGATAAGGTTTCCACTGCTTAAGAAGAAGGTGGCACATATTGAACAAATGATGCATGGTCACAAGGTGCAATGGGAAAACATGGCTGTTCTATTATGTCGAATGGATGGATTGACAGGAAACAAAGAGGGTTGATCAATTTTTTGGTGAACCCTCTACCTAGGACCACCTTTATAAAATCTGTTGATGCATCGAAGTATACAAAGACCAGTGAAGATATTTGAGTATCTTGATGCCCTTATTGATGAGATTGGCGAGGAGAAGGTGGTTCAAGTGATAACTGACAATGGAAGTAATTACGTCTTGGTTGGAAAAATGTTGGAAGATAAAAGGAAGCATCTTTATTTGACTCCTTGTGCCGCTCATTGCATAGACCTAATGTTGGATGATATTGGAAAGATTCCCAAAGTGAAGAAAATAATACAAAGGGTTATTATTCTTGCTGGATTCATTTACAACCATTTAGTTGCCTTGAACTTGATAAGAAGCTTTACAAATAAAAAGGAGTTGGTTAAGCATGCTATGACTCAGTTTGCTACAAACTTTCTTACATTGGAGAGACTTTACGAAGAAAAGGAGAACATTAAAAGGATGTTCTTTTCGGAGCAATGGGCAAAATGTAATTTGGCTAAGGATTCTAAGGGGAAAGAGGTAGCAAAGATTGCATTGATGCCTAGTTTTTGGCCCAAAGTTATTTATTCTCTTAAAGTGATCGGACCTCTTGTTGAAGTCTTTAAACTTGTTGATAGTTAAAAGAAACCAGCAATGGGCTATAACCAATGGACAAGGCCAAGGAAGCTATTATGAGGTCCTTTAAAGGAGATGAGAAGAAGTACAAGGAGTTATTTGAAATCATTGATAAGAGATGGAATCGTCAATTTCACTGTCCATTGCATGCTGTTGGTCATTTTCTAAATTCCAATTACTTCTATGACAATTCAAGTATTGAATTTGATTTTGAGATTACCTCTAGAATGTATCAATGCGTTGGGAGGCTAGTACCAAATGAAGAGGTGTAGCAAAAAATTCTTAATGAGCTGCCAATTTATAAGAGTGCTAGTAGTCTTTTTGAAAATAATTTCGCGATATCATAGAGGAAAATCATAGCACCTGGTGAGAGGCTTATATTACTTAGTTGAGTAAATTTTAACTTAAATTTTCAGCTCTTATCCTTTAAGAATTTAAGTTTTAAAAATTTTTGATAAGCATTTATGACTTTGCAGTTGAATGGCGGTGTATGTTTGAACAATCATCCCCCTAACTTGCAGCAATTAGTCATCAAAATTTTGAGCTTGACATGTAGTGCATTCGGCTGTGAATGTAATTAGAGTGTTTTTGAGCATGTAATATCTTCTCTTTGATTTATAGTGTTGTTTAGTTGTTCACTCTAACTAGTGACTTAGTAAACTAGTAATGAATTTTTGAATTTAATTGATGCTGCAGGTTCATAGCAAGAAGAGAAATAGACTTGAGTATCAAAGATTAAATGATTTGGTTTTCGTGAAATATAACCAAGTAGTAGATTGTAGGAATGAGATTGACCCAATCTTTCTCTCTAATATTGATGATTGCAATGAGTGGTTGGTTGGTGAAATGGAAGATAAGGATAATGCTGAAAATCAGTTAGTTCATGAAGATGATGGGGGACTGTTTGTAGGGCAATGGGACTTGGAGAAATGAGGACCTATACAAAGTTGAAAGTGAGAAATGAAGGAGGATCCTCGAGTGCAAGAGCTGAAAAGAAACAAGATTCAAGTTCTAGTGTGAAAGCAAGACCCCTTCAAGAAGAAGAATTGGTGATTTTGGAGGAGGAGGAAGATACCAAAGATGGCTCGGCAGATAAAGTGGGATATGCTTCCAGTAATGAAGAGAAATACAATGATGAGGAGGAGAATTACATAGAGGGTGAGGATGAATGAGGATTTATGTAATTTAAGAATATTTTGTATGTTTGAGATTGTTATTGAGAGTTTGACTTTAATTTGTGTGTTTTGTTTTTCTTTTTGAATGCTTGTGACATCTATTTGGTTGTTATAAAAATGATGCAATGATGTTTATTTTCATTTAATATTGGTTTTTAGTTGTTTTTGTAAATTTTTATTGTAAATTTTTATTTTTTTTTTCTTGTCCGCCATTTGGCTGCCATGCCACGCCATACCGGTTTTTTGGCTTGCCGCCATGGGCGACCATATGCCATTGATAACACTAATTTCTATACCTTTTTAATTCTCAGTTTACAAATGTAAGATCAATCATTTACCCTTGAAAAAAATATTTACCAGGGTATTCTTTTGGACTTTTGTTATTCTCTTAATTATATTCTTTCGAAATATTCCTTTCTTATCAATATAACAAAATAGTACATTAAATTTATTTAAAAGTTTAAATGTGTAATATGATCGATGAGTCTTTTTTTTGAAAATATCATCATAATAATAATTATAATAATAATCTAGATATCTTTTTTATGAGTTTTTGAATTATTTCTTTTTAGTATGATTTTCTACATATTTGAGAATAATAATATGATAATATTAAGATTAATAGTTTTTTGAAACAACTAACATTTTCTCTTTTGAGTCGAATAATTGGGATAATCTAGTTATTTACAGGAAGCCCACTAGTTAACCCACCTTGCTAGTGTTGTAAAATCAAATAAGGGTTAAGGGTTTCAATAAACCCACTTTTTCCACTAGGCTCCAACAAATTAGGTTTCAATAGGGTTTGTGTCAAACAAGGTGTATGTATTGCCACCTTCTTTCACTGCATAATGAAGAGTGTGTGAATTCCTAATATGCAGAGTGTCGGTACTCAATACCTAGTCAAAGAGAGCCTATACATAGTCATGAAAATGTAAGTTCTGTTGAGATTCTGTAAATATATGCTTTCTATATATAGGGATTGTGTGAATATACGGTTTCTATATATAAGGATTGTGTAATATTAGGAGATCGTATAGATTTGGTTAGAATATTTGATT